TCGATTTCGATCTGTGTTAAGATTTTCTTTTTCAAATAAAGCTTATACCAACATTGTATTTAAATACTGTCGACAGACGCCACAAATTGTCTTTTGAAACATTATTTGTTGCCACACAGTTTCTTCAGATTCAATTTAAAACAAGCTATGAATGCAACAGCTATTTCTGGTTTATATTTGTTGTTGTTGTGCTTACTTGCTTCGACGGTAAATGGTCAAACATGGGCGGGTACCTATACACTTGATTCAACGTGTAGCCGAACATCTTGCTGTTGTTTGATCGGACAATTAACCGTAACACAATTAGGTACTATTTAGTTTTATCGCTTTGTTGAGACCTATTTTCAACTATTTCTCTAATTTAGGTGGCTATTTAGGATTTAGTTCAGGTGTATCCGGTGTTTGTGGTGGTAGTACAACGATTACTGGAGTAGCCGCAGTACCAAGTGGCTACTCGGCCAACGTAACGATACTTGGTACATTATTCTATGTGACACTGAGTTCAGATAGCAAAACAATCAATGCTGTCAATTCAGCTAATTCGGCATGTAACGGTAATGCTATTCGAAGTGGATCGGAGAAGCTGTATGATCATACAAATTCGATCACAGCATTGCTGCTTGCAATCATAGTGATTAAAGTGTTTAAACAGTGATCTATACCACAGATTTAATCAAGTGTAGTTTGAACCAGAGAAGAAGCAGGTCAAATTTATTTGATCCTGGTCCGAACGGGACCCGAAATATATTTTTATTTGTCTTAAAGCCGACCAGTTTCCGCTTCTGGTTTGAACTAGAGTAATCTGGAGTGTTGGCTTTTATATTTTAATATTAATATAATCAAGAAATAAAAATAATTCGACGTTTAGTTATGAGGATAGGCGTATCACGTTCGAAAGCTGCCCTACACTCTAAATAAAAGTGTCGTATACAAAGCCTAAAAGGGTTTAGAAAAGTCTCCCAAACGGGTACGCTTTATGGCTTAGTAAAATGGTGCAAAATAGTTATCGAAGACGTCAAATACACCTTTCTGATGACGGATAATGGTCACTTTAGAAAGCTTTAGTAGACGGTTTTTGACGTCTGTAAATCGTGTCTCCTCAATTGTTGAACGCAAACATCTCATGTGCTCTTCTTGAAGTCTCAGATCTTTCCTTCACGAGGGTGTAAGAACATTCAAACTTCGCCTGGTAAAAGGTCTAAAGGCTCAAAGCGATTCCGCCTTCATTCACCAGTTTGTTTTCAAGAAATCAAAAGTTTCTGGTTCAGGCGCTCAAAGGATCGTACTCAAGGGGAACATGTGCTTTTTTCTGTACATATATCTTGAGAAAAAGCAAAGGAAAGCATTATGAAACTTGCCTCAGTCAAAGGTATAGTACGATGGGGCAATTGGAAGCAAGTTTTTACTCTTTCGATTTCTCATCATAGCAAATCGGGTCACGTTTCGTAGGGGTGGTTTCGGAAAGAAAAGTATAAATATTCTGATTCGTTTTTTCATGTAGAGTTCAACTCTGATATCCCCTTTTGGTACAAAGTCCACTTATCGAGAAAGAACTGAAAACTGGGTTTACGTGAAGGTTACTGCTGTTTATTCTTTCCCGCTATTTTTCCGTTGTGTTCTACAGAGATATATCTTCTATTTTTTCCAAATTTCCTATTTGTTTGCTAACTGTTGATAACTAGGATACAGAACGAAAGAAAAATCAACGGTACAGTTTAATATAATGTCGATGTACACTTCTCGCTAAACATTCTTCATGCAAAAACCATCTTGTTAGATAAGCTTTGATTTGACCTCTAGAATGAGTTTGGGGCTTGGACGTGTGCTTTTCGAAACGTTGGTTTAAACTTTTATTTAACCCATAGAGCACAAGCGGGATAACCCATTGTAGTATACTCAGAAATAAAACATATATATATGTATTAAGTAAAAGTAAGTCATTTAAGTATTTGAACCATTTCCTAAGTTGAAATACTTTGCATAAACTTAATAGCGAGCAATCTGTTTATCAAGCAAAAGTGTCAGTAAATATTAGCACTATAAACGAGATGAACGAAACCAAAAGCAAGAGTTAGGTCTCAATCGGATGGATAAACTATTATACTTGATACCCCCGACCCGAATTTCTTTTCCTTGACGTGAATGAACCTCGAAAAAGATTTTTTCGCATCGAAGAAAAAGGGATGTAACAAGTCTCTATAAAGTCCAAATCGTTTACAAAAGAAATTTATATAAGCATTCGTCGTTTGCGAACAAGACACATAACAAAATTCAAAGTAGTCATATTTGGTTTTTGTACATCGCCACATAGCCCAAAGTGTCCTCTACAAAATCTGAACTAAGTACTCTTGTACCCTTTTGTGGTTTAGGCGTGGCATTAGGTTTCCCCGAAGCCTCACGATCCATATTTCGTAAAAAAATCGATTTTCAGATACGCTTATGGAAAGATAAGCTGAAGTACCTGCTTTCAGAATATATACGATTCGACACTATATTATTGGTTTTTTCGGGGTTTTCAGAGGTTTTCTGAACACTCCGTATAGAAGAAGTTACTATTTTATTTTGATCTGTGTGAGGTTCTACTGACTCACTTCTCATACAAGTATGGTTCATCTTCGATTCACTGACCCTTGACTGAAAATGAGTTTTTAGTGATGATTTGGTGTTAGTATGCGCTTAGCTTTTTAAAGGGATGGAGAAACAGGAAATGTTTGTTTATTTATGTGTATGATTGCATTAGATCCAATGACATATGACTTGTTGAAGGACATATTTCCTAGGATTTGATCGTTAACATTAGGAGGCGTTTACTCATTTTATTTAAACAGAACACAGAAAAGTAGAAGAAAAACAGTAACTGAACTGAAAAACATCTAAAGTGAACTCTATAATAAGAATGTTTACTATTTACACTCGAGATTCAAAAACCCCTCACCTGAAACAGGCACTATATACAGAAAGAGAGAATTTTCTGGGATTCAAAATAAAC